AACAAATGAAATGTTAATTAAATAATAGAAAATTATCAAGTTCGTTCTTGAAAACATTGACAGATGGAGCATTTACAACATTCTCTGGTAGAGGGTTCCAAGTGTAGAATATTCGAATAAAATAAAAAAATTTACCTCGTTTTTTTTTTCAGCTTCCATTTATGGCCACGTAGTCGATTTTCACTGTCCACAATGAACATACATTTTAAATTTCCAAAATTATATTTTAAAATACGAAAACAAATTATCATATCACCCCGCAGACGGCGATTTTCAAACGTTTGTAGTTCAGCCATATGTAGTCTCTCTGCGTAATTAGGTCTCATACGTCCGAAAAATAGTCTGGTTGATCGGCGCTGCACATTTTCAAGAATATTTTTATCCCGCACTAGTTCCAGACACCACAGAGCTCCGCAGTACTCGGTGATCGGACGAATGTATAATTTATACAGCCGGATCGAATTTTGAAAAGACACTTTTGCGAATGTTTTCTTTAATAAGTACATTTTCGTGTTCGCCTTTTTTGACACTTGAAGAACGTGCTCAGATCAGCTGAGATTTTCAGTAATTATAATACCTAGATCATTGCAAGATTTAACTTTATTTAACGTATGACCGTTCAGAAAATAATTATGACGAGGATTATTTTTACCAATATGGAGAACTACACTTTTATTTGTATTTGGAGATAGCATCCAATCTGAGCACCAGTTATAGATGGAGTCAAGGTCATCTTGAAGCTGTTGGAATTTCAAAGACGGGTCTCTAAATATTTTAGTGTCATCTGCGTAAAAAATATTGTTGCACTTGATATGGAATTGAAGGTCATTGGCATATATTATAAATTAGAGTGGACCCAGAACTGATCCCTGAGGAACCCCACTCAAGACTGGTCTTTCAAGTGAATGCGAATTTCCAACTTTAACACAGTACTTTCTATCAGTTAAGAATGACTCGATCCATTTAAGTAAATCGCCACGGTGTTCTAACTTATGTAGTAATCTTCGTTTCGGCACATGATCAAAAGCTTTCGCAAAATCCAGGTAAATAATATATATAGGTTTTTTTCTGTCTAATGAAACTGTCCACTCATTTACACACCAAAGCAAATTGGTCATGGTTGATCGCCCTTTATCAAATCCATGTTGCTGTTTGGGAATGATTTCTTCCACTAAGAGAAACTGAGAAACGTGCTCTGTTATTATGGATTCCATAACTTTACAAATTATGGGTGTGAGGCTGATTGGGCGGTAGTTATTAGAGTCTAGTTTGTTTCCTTTCTTGAAAATGGGTGTTACAAAAGCCGTTTTCCAGATAGAGGGTACTGTGTGTGTATTAAAAGACAAAGACACTATAATAGATAAAGGAACTGATATGGTATTAGAGCATTTTTTTAAAAATAGAGAATATATTTGATTTAGACCCGGAGAGGAGTTGTTTTTTAATTTTAAAAGGTGACGTTTACCAATTTCAGGAGTAAAATTGAGCCGTTCTAAGGAAGAAGTGATTCTTTCGGGTGAGATATCTGGTAACTGATCCTGGAGAGGTTCATTGGTGAAAACTTTTGTAAAAGTATTAGCTAAAAGTTCAGCCGTTTCGAAATTATTTTCGCAGGGACTTCCATCTTCTTTGTTTTGTAAAGGAATGGATACTTTTGATGACAGTGAAGATCTAATATATTTGTATAATTTTTTACAGTTTTGGCTGCATGCTATCGACTCTTCATATTCTTCTCGGGCCTTATTTATAAATTTCTTTAGGTCCTTGGAAAAATTTTTGTGATATTCTAGATCGACAATATTATTTGATCGCTTATATTTACGCCATAATTTGCTTTTATGTCTAATCAAGGATATTAGTTCTCCGTTGATCCACGATTTTAATTTTTTTTTGTAAAACACCTTCTTTTTAGAGTATTGGATTTTATGAGTAGCAATAACGGTTGCGAACTTATTCCATACTTCTGCCGGATCTCCCGAGTCACCCAATGTTTCTATCCAGTCGATGGTAGATAAATGACGATTTAAGTTATCGAAATCGATGATTTCATATGATGTAGTATGATCTTTGTGAGATGGGTTCTCTATGTTAAACTGTATACGACTTATGATGACTGCATGATCCGATATTCCTATCGGAGATTGAATGATAGGGTCAGTTAATAATTGTTTATCATTTACAAATAACAAATCTAACGTGGAAGGAATATTGTTGACTCAGAATCGTGTTGGATCTGTTATAAGTTGTTGTAAATTAGAGCTTAGAACAAAGTTTAAAAATTTATTTTTTAATTTACAACATCACTTGGAGTGAGAGTTAACTGGCCACGAAATATCTCGGAAATTGAAATCACCAATAATAATATTTTCTAGGGAAGACAGATATTCAAGTTTTTCAATAAGGATTGTGTCTTCAGCTAGTTGAGAGTCTCCGTGATGATAAATACAGACTAAATGAAGAGTAATAGAGCTAGAATAAATTTTTAAATCTAATAATTCCATATTAGGGACACTAATGTCAAGAGGAGTAACAAAAAAATGTTGTGTAATATCTGATAATAAATCAAGCTTTAAAACAAATCTGAATAGAAATGCTGTATTAAGGGGGGTTGGAGTAAAAAAAATCATAACTCAAAAACGAAAAATAATAACTCGAAATTTTTAATAGAAATCAAGATTTACAAAGGGATTGGGGGGGGGGGGGGGGTACGAGGGATATGGGGTTTGTATTTAAGGAGGGGTTGGATTTAAGTGGGGGTGGGTGTATCTTTAACTGTGAAGAGTATAATATAGACTGTCAAGCTTTATATATCCTCATTCTAGTTAAAAATTTCACAAACCTAGTTTTTATTATAAGTTTTTGTTTTTTCATTATCTATTTCATAAAGTACCTACCCAGACGTCAAAAAAATGAGATATGATACGTGTTTTTTTATTATTCTTTAATTTAAATAACATACCTATAATATGTCGTTCCCTTGTTGTTTTTTATAAATGTAAAATAAAATGTGGGTATGCAAAAATATCAAATTTAATAAGTAGGTACTCATTTCTAGTTTTTTCTAAAAATTTAAAAGTTAATATGTAGGTAGGTATATCATGTCCTCTAGTTAAATAAACTACAACCTATAACTAAGCGCAGTGTTTTATTTTTCCTAATAAATCATATTAAAGTAGGTAAGGGGGTTATATTTATTTCCTATTATAGCTTGAACTGATCATGTCCGGGTTTTGGGAAATGAAAAGGTAGCAACTCAACTCAAAAGAGGATAATTCGTTCTATGGTTGGTCTTTCAAATAGAACATCTTGTAGAATAACCGTAGAATAATTTTAACATTACCATGCCTTTTAATTTACGAGTTATGTCTATTTGTCTTTAACAACAAACTGAAATGTAACAAAAATAGCGCAATTCATAGTCATAATACCAGATAAAAAGAAAATTATTCGGTACCTTTCAGTAGGTTTTAAATTACGTTTTGATCACCAAACTGTATGGGCCCCAGATTATACAATCAACTGCCAAGTCATATTAAAAACAATATTTTTAAGAATACATTAAAATCATTTTTATTATCTTACTCATTTTATGATGTAGTATAGATCAGTAACTATCTGGTAAATTAATTCTGTTTATCAGTGTTTATTGTTAGTATCTATTTTATTTTATTTATAAGATGTATCTGAAGTTTTCCATACAACATTAATTATCTTAAGGAAATAAATTGTTTCTATTCTTCTATTCTATTGTACCTAATAGGTAGATATGTCTCTGTATAATACAATAATTGCAGGACAAACGATAAATGTGGTTCTCAGCAAACGAACATCAGAAAAATGTTGCCAACTTAAGCTAACCACTATTTCTCCGTGACCCCTTCATCCATAAACTAACTCTATATCGCAACCCCCTTAGATATAGCAGTTGCAAATAAATTTCATTTGCACGTCAGCCATAAATTACTTAAAAATACAAGGTTGTTTCAATATTTGCGTATTATCTTTTTTTATATTAATATTATGTATCTTCCTGTTCCGACTGGATGAACAAAAAATATCTGATACCGACCCTGGTATCTATGGAATGTAATTTAAATAGATTAAATAATATAAACATATTTATAAATGGAAAACAGTATTGAAGAGTAGTCAACAAGTATTGAATAGAAAATGTTTCATTTGTAAAATCAAAGTAAAATCAAAATATTTTATATGATTATTTCCATAAATCTTTTTTAATTTTAAAAATTTCAAAAGGTGTTTATTTTACGGAAAATGTTTTAAATTTCAAGCTTTGAGAAAAAACGCAAAATACGTTAAAAATAACAGAAATTCATCATAAAATAGTCCAAAAATGTTTCCTATTTCGAAAAATCTTAAATTCTGATTATTTTACGGAAAACAAACGTTAAAATTTGGAGTCTTAAATACGTTAAAAATAACAGAAATTTATCATAAAACAGATGAAATAGCTAGATAGACCAAAACTAGTCCAAAAATATTTTGTATTTCAAAAAATCTCAAAAAGTGTTTGTTTTACCGAAAACGAACGTTATAAAATTCAATTTTTAAGAAATGAAGCTAAATAGGTTTAATATAACATAAATCTATTATAAAATAGACCAAAACTGGGCCCAAAATATTTTATATTTCAAAAAATCTCAAAAAGTGTTTATTTTACGGAAAACAAACGTTTTAAAATTAAATTTTTAAGTAATGACGCTAAATAAGTTTAAAATAACAGAAAGTTATTATAAAATAGCTAGATAAACAATAACTAGTCCAAAAATATTTTTTGTATTTTATTGTTAATTAAATTTTAAACTTGAAACTTTTGTATTATTTATCAGTTCATCAAGTTTTCTAATACACGACGAAGCTTTTAATTCTATAATGTTGTTTTTAATAGCAAGTAAGTTCATAGCTTTTGTAGATTTACTGTTGGGCCAATAAAAAATTAAAAAGCTAAAATCAGATTAAATAACATTATATTTACTTACCCTATGACTCCTAGATGCCTTGGGATCAAGGTATGTGCGTAGTTTATTTAAATAATAAGAAGGAGGGTCCTTGGCTTGAACCATTTCCTGTAATAAAGAAAAATGTTGTTACAAATAAACAATTTCTACATCTTGTATAAATTTTATATTAACAGGAAAATCTGTATCAAATGTTTTGTAGTCTAAAAATATTTAACTGGAAATATAAAAAACATTGTTGCTTCATGTGGCAAGTAGGTAAAGTAAATTTATGTATTGTTTTTGTTTCATTTTCTAAAGGTTAGCTGGCTAGATTCAGCAGAGCATCGCACATAAAATGTGTTAAACCACCATTAATATCAGTGATCTAAATCAACTTAGTTAAATGAGGCACTAATGGGGTTTTGAGTGAAAAAAATTCGCTAATATGAATAGATGAATATCGCCAGATCTCTAAAACTGTGTTCTGCTGGAAACAATAAAGAACTACACAATTTTGATAAATCAATGATAATGATGGTTTTATCATATCAGGACTGTTGGAATTTATGAAGAATCATATCCTAAAACTGTTTTGATTCAATATTAGTGATTGGTTCACTCAATTTTTGTGTATTTTTCTGTATTTCTCTGTATTTTTCTGTATTTTTTTTTTGTATTTTTCTGTATCTTTCTGTATTTTTCTGTATTTTTCTGTATTTTTCTGTATTTTTCTGTATTTTCCTGTATTTTTCTGAATATTTCTTTATTTTTCTGTATTTTTCCGTATTTTTCCGTATTTTTCTGTATTTAATAATTTTCAATACGGAGAAAATTCATATCATAAGTAGTAGCCTTATGACTTCACTCCTACTACGAATAGTCCCGCCCATCCTCACTCAAATTGCCAAATTAAAGTTCGTAAATAGTAGCAAACAGAAAAAATAAAATTATCAGTCAGGAAACTACAATACAGACCAATATCGACCAACACACAATGGTACTATCGCTATAACCTGCATAATAATAGTTGTTGGCAATACATCCAATATATTGTACTAATTCATAAGGCTATTCCGGTCCCTAAGAGCCAAACTAAGTAATTAAGCAATAATTAGCGAAGTAACTATTGAAAAATATTATAGGAATCAATAAAACAAAAAGGCCAAATTAACAAATTAGTTTTAAAAACCCTTTGGTTCTTATGTACTGCCCCCCAAACCTGATAATGATGCATCAGAAAATATTTCAAAAGCAAAAGAAGATCTAGTGATGTATTAAAAGCTTGTTGGGATGTTTTGAATCCACCATTTAAAATCTAACTTAACACACTCAGGTATAATCATTATAGCCTCATAATCATTTGATATTTTTAATGCTGCAAATCTAATTTGTTCTAGGATTTTAAATATAAACCCAACCATATCTGATTGCTGAACGCCTATTAGTCTAGAAAATTCTCTAATTGAACAGGAATACATATCTAGGAAAGAATTAAGCAAACGTAAAATCTTTAACCTTATTTTTTCGGTAAGAGACATAGTCATTAGTGTCGAATTAAAATTAAACCCTAAGAAATTGCAGCTAGTGGATGGATTGAGGTATACTACAGATAGCAGGCTTCATAATTTTTGTAAAAACTAGTGGAGCAGTGCATAATCCAAATGGGAGACAACAAAATTCATACAAAATATCATTGAAAAAAGAATCTTAAATACTTTCTGCTTGAGATTTTGATATTAACTAAAAAATAAGCTTCTTTTAAGTCCAAAGTTGCCATAAAACAACCTTTGGTAATTAATTTTGCTACTGTACTTTTATTTTCCAACTTAAAATGTTCTGTTTCGATGAACTTATTAAGATTTTTTAAGTTTATAACTAAACGAAATTTGCCATTTGACCTTTTTACTAAAAAAATGTTGGATATAAATTGTTCCTTACATAGCTTACAAGGGCGGATGGCCTTAATTTCAAGTAGATGGTTTATTTCTGCTAAGATCTGCTGATGTTCAATTAAAGATCTGACAGGTTCAATTGGAATCATATTTTGTATAGGCGGAGAAATTAAGTTTAAGGAGTAACCTTTAATCCAAGACCTTATAAATGGATCCTCTGAAATATTTTTTCAGAATCTGTAATATTTACTTAGATTCCCTGCTAGAACACTTACTTTCACTTGAGGGGCCTTTTCCAAGCTTTCTGTTGATGTACCCCTGGGCGTGAATGCTTCTGTTATCCGGTGGAACTCCGTGAGTACTTTTGTTGTCCGGAGGGACTCTTGTAGTTTAAAGTCTTGTGAGATACCTTTGACTTAGATCTCAGCTTTAAATCTTCACCTGAACGCTTCATAGCTTTTGCTGATTTAATTCGGTCTAAGTGGTTCCCAAATAGCCATTCATCTAACTTAGCCTCCCCTATTACTTTTTTAAGATCACTTTTGAATTCTAATGTAAGAAAATAACTTCTTGTTTCCGAGTTTTGCCAATGCGTATCACATATGAGACGGGATTCATCGCTTAACAGTTCCACGATCGTCAGTTTCCCTTCAACATCTTCCTCCCATCCAAGAATTAAGATAAGTGCTTTACCAAGTGAGGACAGGCTAGACCCTAACTGGGTCTGTAAAAAAATTAATTTGTCATCTCTTTTAATAGCTGTATTAGAAGCTGCTGCCTTAGCCTCTGGGTTGACTTTGGGTGGCGCCATTGAAGGGCAATATTAACAATGACTATTTAGCAAGGTGGTACTCTTCAACAATTAATGTTCGGATATAAGATGACCTTTAAACTTTTTGAATGTTCTTGTGTTAGACTGTATGTATATAATAATTACTTTTCTTTTAATTCTAAATTTCAAATTAATTCTCAATTGGGGGGTGGGTGGCTCAGTGGTAGAGTCTCTGCCTGCGGATCCAAGGTTCCCACGTTCGAATCCCACAGTTGGCCGGGCTTTTTTCATTTAATTTAATTATTTAAAATTAATTCTGATGCATTGGTAGGATTCCCCACTAGACCATTCACTGTTGGGTTCTAATTAATAGTGCTGTTCCTAAAGTGGCACTGGGAAACAGTAACAAAGCATGCACAGAACACGAGGCGAAATAACCTTAGCAGTTGAAGCCGCTGATACACAAAAGAAAATCTCAATTAAACTCATCACATTTTTGCTCTTTCATTTGTCTTTTAACTGTAAACACAATTCAATTTGGACAATGATTTGGGGCATCGCCCCTTGTCTCTATACAAGCGCAGGCTTAATCACGAGGTTCTCTATGAATAACTAATGGTTTCTGCACCCATCATTGTTTCACACTTCGTATTTTTTTGTAAATTTATACTTGCCTTTCATTTGTAACTTTATTAACTGTAATTGTTTTTAAAAATTTTGTGACTCAAAAGTTTTTGTTCATATTATTTTTAATATCAACATATTTATTTACACCCACAATATGTCCTGAAGATGGCGTTCTGCTGAAATCGCTTTGCATAATACAAGTTTTTTTGCTAAACTAAGATATGTACGACATACATGAACATAACCTTTTTTGATTCCTTTAATATTTGATAAGTAGCTGACATTTTTTATATGTTTAGCCGCAGCAAGCGCTGCGACTATAATCAAGTATTTTTATTGAAAAAAATCTGAAATTAGTCAATGAAAACCTTCGTATAAAATAAGTTACAGCAATTACGATGCTTATACTACCGATGATGTCGAATATTTCCTTCACAAGATAGCAAATTGATATAAACTTGACCATCAAAATGATGATATAATGATTTTATTAGTCACACGCCAGTAACCCAAAATTATTAGTCACACTGTATTTTCGGACATTTCTCCGCATTATTTATCTAATTTAAAATTTTAATTTTAATTGTGGGATAGTTATGTAGTCATTTTTATATTTTGACAAATATTTACACAATTTATTTTAAGTCGTGCATGAATTTTAATTGAGTAAACAAAAAAATATTATGTTCCGAGACAGTATTTACTACTATAAAATAATAAAAGCAGAAAGTACAAAATACAGAATAAATATGAATGATTACTTGATCACTGAATAGCCCAAGCAATGAAGTACTCAGGACAGAAGTTACCTATGAAAAATTAGAATAAAGATACAAATTGGTATGTTGGTCTAATTCGATGTCCTGATGATCCCCTTTCATTTGCTCCCGGACTATACTTCCCTAAATTTATATTACCTAATGTTATAAACTAATTTTTCTAATTTTGACTTATATAAAGTGACATTTTTTGTAATCGAAGAAAGTGTGAAAATGATTTACTTTACGCAACCAGTTGCATAATGTTGAACATTGTGGAACTAACTGGTTACGAAATAGGTATTTATGAAACCAGTTTCGAAATGCCTTATTTTAATGTAATGAGTGAATATTTGTGGGACGAGCAGAGCGAGGTCCCGCAACATGAACGAATTAAAACAGGAAATAATTCAACACTCAAATGTGACCAAGAATAAGTTTCTCTTTTGACAACAACAACTCCTTTGGCTACTACCTCATCAGGTATTGAATTACGCCAAAAGAAAAAAGCAGAGATAGAAAATATTTTTAACATTTCGTATTGCTATTAGACTCCATTAGAGGCTGGAGTCGAAATTTTCTATTTCTTTCTGAAAAGTCCTAATAAGGACGAAACCGGTCCAAGAATGACTTGCTCCTTAGTAAGCAAAATCAAAGGTAGAATATTGAAAATATTTTCTATCTCTTCTTTTTTCTTTTGACGTAATTCAATACCTGGTGAGATATTAGCCAAAGAAGTAGTTGTTGTCAAAAGAGAAACGGCTGCCCATATTATTGTGACGCACAGCTTTGAGATTACTTTGATGTATTTTATATACATCATTATTGAAAGTGTATATCAAAGAAGAGCAGGTTGGCTTATAATAATAGAATTTGGTTAAACTTACAACATAGTAATAATGTTGTTTTGGTTCTTATTTTCCATTCTAAATCAGCACAACATAATTAAAACACAATACGCGACAAAATAACCCACTTTTTTAAAAATTAAATAAATTTCAATATATGCACGTTACAAGTCGTTGAGAATAAATAATTACTATGATGTTCTATTTGTCAATAAAATGATGCATATGC